ATATATATATATATATATATAAATATTGTTGTTATTAATTATAATATTTGCTGATAAAAAGATTGCAAAACCTTAATCTCTATAATCTAACAAAAACGTGTTTGCATGTGCAGCAACACAATGGACAATTATCAAAAGCAAATGAAGGTGCTAGCAGAGAAGCTAACACACATGATATTCACCTTAATGGGGATCTCAGAAGAACAAAAGAGGTGGGTTGGTTCAACCAATAATAACCCTTGTGAAGCTATTCAGCTAAACTTCTACCCTTGTTGTCCTGACCCTAACCGAGCCATGGGTTTAGCCCCTCACACGGACACGTCCCTCTTCACAATCCTCCACCAAAGCCAAACCAATGGCCTCCAAATCTTCAAGGAGGGTGCAGGGTGGGTTCCCGTGCACCCTCACCCCAACACCCTTGTTGTTCACACTGGTGACATTCTCCACATCTTGTCCAACTCGAGGTTTCGTTGTGCCCTACATCGTGTCATGGTGAACAGTGCCAGAAAGAGATACTCCGTGGCTTATTTCTATGGACCACCGTTGGATTATGTTGTTTCACCTTTGGTTCTTGATTCGTTGCCTTGTTTTCGGGCTTTGTCTGTGAAGGAGTATGTTGGCATCAAGGCCAAGAACTTTGGGGGAGCATTGTCTTTGATTAGAACACTTGAAAACTAATTAGAATCTATTTGAATACAAATTGAAAGTATTTTTAAGAACTTTTCTATTGAAAAGGAAGAATTATTTCTAATAGATAAGTTTTCAAAAAAACTTTTAAATTAATATTCAAATAGATTTGTAAGGTACATTTTTCTTTGGTTCTTGCTCTTTTGTATATAGTTGAAAGAGTTAGTTAAACTTTTAATCTTCTATTATCTGTTTTGCAAATTTAACTTTTTTTTTCATGATTTATTTTATTATTTTGCACCAATATCTTTAGGTAGGAATGATAAAATGGGTTGTGACCTGCGGGCTGTCCTGTTAGCCCGCTAAAAATTGGTGGGCCGAACCCATCATTTTAACCCGTCAATCCGCCAAACCTGTCAACCCATCGACCAAATGGGAGGCTGGCTAGTCACAACTCGCCAATCCGCATAACTAATTGAGCTTTAGTTACTTGTATAAGTAATGAACTTATTTTGTAAACTATCAAAAAATTTAGATTTTTAGTAATTTGTAAGTTTATAATTTGATTTTGATTTTGGTGTAAGTGGACTAATTTCTATTTGACTTTGTTCTAAGTTTGTAATTTGTTTTTTGTTAAACATATATTATGTACAATATGTATACATTTTAATTTCATACGGTTATATTTAATTATTTGTAGCAGTTTTTTTTATTTGATCAAAATATTTTTTCCATTTTTTTTGTAATTTATTTTGTAGTATTCGGACTAGCCCGCCAACCCGTCCTTAGACGGGGCGGGCCAGCGTTTTCAACCCATTTTTCATTGGCAGGCTAGCCCGACCCGACCCATTTTTGGCAGGCCGGGCCAAAACGGACTGGGCTGACCCGTTTTGTCACCCCTATCTTTAGGCATCACCTTAGATTAATCTAAAATTAAAAAAAAAATATGAAGGAATACACATTTTTGAAAAAATATATTTTATTTTTTTATAAAAAAATAAAATAGCTAGGAAAGAAAAAAGAAATGGTAAACCTCATGCAAAAATTATTTCTCTCTAATTTGGAGAGAGAACTACAAAAAAAAATAATAAAAAAAATTAAATTATAATTATACCATTGATTTTTAATTACATCATATATTTTATTAGAATTATTTACATCTTTTAAAAATATATTTTTTTTCTTTTCTCTCAATTATTTCACCTCTACCAAATAATTAAATAATCATCTCATTTTCTACTTAATTTCTATTCTCCTTAATTTCTTTCCTTTCATCTTTCATAAACCAAACATTAATAATGTAATTTTAGTTTATCACAATTAACATGACAATTAATATTCAATATTTTTTTAAAAATTGTTGACCTACGACGTTAGTACATTCATTATTGATGTGATCTACTGCCTCTCACGTTAATATTTTTTTTAAAATATCAATATCTGAATTAAAATTATACAAATAAAATAGAATGAGATTCGAAAAAAAGATAAAGGACTATATTTGTGGAAATGATGATAATAAAGGAATGAAAAGTGCGATTAAATCTAAATAAAATAAGCTTTTCTGCTTTTTAATTTTTATAAGACCTCATTGAAAAATAATTTTTTTTCTTGAATTTTAATTTGATTCTGACATGTTAATTTATAGTTAGAACAAAAAAAAGGAGAATTTTTTTTTCTTCATTGTTAATTTTATTCTGACGTGTTTATTTTTAATTAGAAGAGTAATAAAGGGTTTTTTTTTTTTAAATAAGGCTTAAATATGTTTTTAGTCCCTCAAATTTAAGATAAATTTGTTTTTGATCTCTCAAATTCAAAATTATTGTTATAGTCTCTATAATTTTAAAAACCTTATTTTAGTCCTTATATTTAAATTTTATTAAGAAATTTATCAAATATTATTGTATAAAATTTATTTATTAGTATCTTGTTAGTTAAAATATCACATTAAATCCTGTTTGGTAATCTGAGAAACCAAAACAAAATTTTTAAAAATTACAGGACCAAAAATAATAATTTTAAATTTGAAAGATAAAAACAAATTTATCTTAAATTTAAAAGACTAAAAACATATTTAAGTTATAAAAAAAAATAGAGTAGAGTCGGTCAATTGAGTCCTTTTCGAGTTGGTTGCTTATAACATTTTGCATCATGATTAAGTGGAAAACTAGGATGTTGAAAAGTCTAACATACTCCTAGTTCTTTCAAAAGGATAACCACATGCCGCCGTATTTTGTTTTTTCTTTGTTAGCAAACGAGTGTCATTTGTCGAAAATGAAAACTTAAAAGATATTAAATAGTTTGATATCTTATCTCAATTTGAAATTTTACCTAATCAAAGAGCTAGGTTTCATCACTTGATTAAGTAAGTCACTCACATTAACCCATATAAACACACACATAATATATATAATAGTGATTATGTATTTAAGAGAAGAAAAAAAGAAGAAGATGTGCAGCTCCTTATTTTAAAGTTAAATAGAATCGATTTTGATAACATTTTTCCTAAACTATTAAATGTAATTAAGATATATGTTTAAATTAATTTTAATTACAAATTTTACGTTAAAAATGTATATGAAAATTAATTGAGTACAAAACAGAGACATACACAAAATATAGTAACTACACGTAGATAGATCATGAAAAGTTGCACTTTTTTATATACAGAAAAGTTAAAATTTTAATTAAGTGTAAAACTGATGTCCCACATAAAGTTTAATATATTTATCTCTTTTTTATTTAATTAAGTGCAAAATTGTGTTCCCACAAAATTCAATACCTAGCCATATATAAATGAATAAAATGATACGTAGTGTGTCTGTCGGCATGACTTTTAAATTCGGCTTACCCAACCTTTGTATTTACTTGTGTACATTTCGTTGTCGTAGATAGCTTCATTTTAATTAGGTGGTGTCATTTGTACCATTGTGTATACTATGCATGGCTTTGAGTTTTGTAAACATCAATGCCTAATCCCCACACGTATGTGCTTCCGAATTAGTTGACATTTGGCAATTGACTAAGACTTAGGTATTTGGTTTAGTTTTTTTTTTTCTTTTTAATTTTCTTTTTAAAATATTTTTTTTTTACTTCGTATAAAAGATTTTTTTCTTTTCCAATTTTTATTAATTGTAAAAAAGATACATTCATTTTTAATGATAATATTAATTTGTTGAAATTTATATACCAGTAATTAATGTGAGCTAGTATTATAAAATAATTATATATTAGCTATTTTTATCATTAGTGTTTTTGTTTTATTTGGTAAAATTAGTTAGTTGGTTAAAGTACTCAATTAGATTATATAAACAATGATGAATAAATGTGATTTTAGTCCATTAGAGGATAATAAGAACCTTTTTATGTTAATACATTATAATAATGCTTAGTTAATACATTATAATAATGCTTAGTTAGATGGAAATGGAGGGGAAGGGAAGATTTTTTTTTAAAATCTTTATTCTTTAGTTTAATTTTTAGCATGGTAAAAAGGAGGAAAGAAATGCAAGGGAACAAAATCTCTTCTCACCCAATTACCTCCAATATTGGAGAGATTTGAAGGGGAAGAAAGGTAAATTTAAAGGGTCTAACTAAAATACTTTTACTAATATTTTGGAATAGAAAATTGCCATCACACTAAAAAAAATATTGTATTCAGTGACCCACAAAAGGGATTGCAATTTTGTTAAATTTAGTCACTAAATATATTTGCAACCAATTAGCAACCACACAAAGTATCTAAAACTAGTTGCTAATTCGTTAGTAATCAAAAATATGCTTGGTCACTAAACAAACTTATTTAGCGACCTAAAGTTAGGTGTGTTTCATTGGTAGCTATTGAAGCCAGATGCACTATTTGGTCGCTAAAATTACTAATATGTCGACATATTTATGTGGATGTTAAATAATAGACATGATTTGGTCACTATTTCAATAACAAACTTGAGTTTTCAATAGCAACTGACTTTGTTGATCGCATTAGAATCAGATACCATTATTTTGACATGAAATAGGTGACTAAAACATTTTTAAAAAATATTATTGTGTTGATATTGGTTTAGGGATCGATATATTTGTTGCAAATTTCACAATCATTTTAGTTGTAACGGTGTGTGATTTTGGATTTTATTTATTAATTGTATAATATATATGATTAACTATTGAATTATTGTAATTGTTGTTGTCTTAGAACTTTGAGGGTCATAGTATCCTCGAGAGTTTTAATTAGAGTTAAGTTTGTCTAACTTAAGGAAGGGTATATAAGAATTTTATTAAGACATGAACTTCATAAGTTCATATTTTAAGAAAAGTATATAGAAGTTAGAGAGAAGAACTTTGGAGTTAGAGAAGTTCTTTTCTTCATCTACTTTCACTAAACTCTTCTATATTTTTAATTCCCTCAACTAGGCAATGACAATAGATCGTCGAATTTGATTTGTGAGTCATTCAGAGTTTTTCCGTTCTCCTTCCATCTTCTCCTCCTTTTTCTCACTTTTGGGTGATTTGAGGTAAGGAAAGTTTGTGTTTGGTGAGTATTGAATTATAATGCTTAATAGATGTTTATATTCATCAAATGTTGGTTGTTTGATGAAGAATAGATGTTGAGTTGCTCGAGTCTTGATTCCTTGAAAAATCTTTGAAGAAAAATTTGATGAATTTTGAAGTGTAGTGGTTGCATTTGGTACTATATGCTGAATATGAACCACATAAATTGTATTTGTGTTGAGAATATGATTGCATGTTGGTTTTGTTAGAAAAGATGGCTTTATCCAAAAGGGGGGTGAATTGGATATTTTAAAAATTTGTTTTTAGAATCTTTAATTTTCAAAAAAATTTCTAAAATCTTTCCAAAGAAGTCAATTGATTTAGATAATAGGATAAAATGTTGAGATTGATTTCTAAACTTAACAATATATTATATGTTGAATCTTATATGATATCTAAGAGTCAAATATAAAGATTTAACATATTCAATCAATTTTATCAAGAATTTAAATAAAAAGTGTAGGGATAGAGAGAAATGACGTAAGGATTTATACTAATTCAACCACTACCACTGTGACTTACGTGTAGTCCCCAATCAACCTAATTGAGATTTTTTACTATCTTTAGATTCAGAGTATTACAATCACACACACATGCAATAAACTTCTAAAATCCTAAAGATAAACTCATTTCTTGAACCCCCAAGAAATGTCCCTTGTGGTCACCCACTACAAAACCTTTAATATTGAGAAGCTTACTTAAGAACAATGATAAAAAGAGATTTAGAATGAATTCACCTAGATACAAAATCAATCAAAGAGGTGAATCAAAGTCAAAGTAGCATAACCTTTCTCTCTAGTTGGATGATGATGATTCTTGAATCCTTTCTTGAAATTAACTACAAAGGATCAAAGGATTCTTTCACAGAGAAAATAGAGATTTTCATAAAGTCTTTTCCACAAGGGATTTCACAAAGTTACAAGAATTTCAGTTGTTCTTTCTTAAGTTTAAAAGTTGATATTTATAGAACTTTCTAACTAAAATAATTGATTATTTTCATAGATAATCAATTATTTTGTTCTTGATGAATTTG